GTACGACCCAAGCCGCCTGTACGGTGAGCTCTCTTGAAGTGCCTGAGAAGGCGGAAATATTAACTGAAGCGGGTTATGAGTGAGGTACGGGGTTCCATTTTTTCCATGAATTACCTGAGGCCGAGGCATAATTTTTATGCTGTTCCTGATACTTTCAGTAAGTAAATTCTAAAGCAGGCACTTAAAAGACATCACTCCTCAAATGTCTGATTTTATGCATGACTTTTATTTTTGGCCTTTTGGGGGGGCTTCTTTGTTTTCATCTGAAGACTCTGGTGTATACTGTAACTCAGGTGAATTCCCAAGCATTATTTGAAGACCCTACAGAATACGGGCAGTCTATGGTACTTGCCAGGTACCAATTCATCAGTCCCATGTTTTGACAGTAGATAAAACTGTAGTCACAGTTAAAGTGTAAAGTTCAGGAAGATTGTCAGTGGGAAAAGATGGAAAAGAATGTGGGTGGTGGAGCTGGCAGTAGGTGCTGGGAGTGTCCCAGGGTTGTGCTGTGGACTTACTGGTGTTTGAAAAATCACTTTGAATTCTGTTTAACTAAAATATTTCCTTTTTCTTACTCCCCCTGGCATACACAGTGTCATTTTACAGAGAGAAAAATGTGCAAAAACCGGTGATAATTCTCTGTGTTCCCTGCAAAAATCTTTATGGTTTTGTTTTAGTATACTGGCAGTCTTGAATTTTTACTACTCCCCCCCCTTTTTTTTCTTTTTCCTGAGATTGATGATTATTATTACTTCAAAAGTTTCTTTTCTCAGTTGAAAAGTTTGTGTTTTTAACAAGCCTATTTTAAGGCTAGCACAGCTGAATATTTAATGAATCTTTAAGTTGCTTTCCATCAGTCTGGCTACTTCTTGGCTCTTAGCACTGTGTTCTTCCTGGACAGTGAAGGTAGGCTGGTCAGTACTGCAGTCGTGTTCTCATCATGGGTACAGTGCTGTCATAAATGAATCACAGATGCTTCCGTGGAGCGTTTAAACCAGAACAACAATATGGTTTTCATTGTGATAAGAGGAAAGAAAACAACAACTTAGGCTTGGTAAGATTTCCCAAATGCTGCTTCTGTTTAAAAACACAAATGCTTGTTCTGTGTTTTGATTTTGTTCTCTAGTGTTCTTTTAATCCAAGATAGTGTACTGTGACTTCTCAGGCCATCTTTCATAGGTGTTCTTGCATAAAGGATGTTGGTTTTGTCTGCTTGCTTTCTGTTCTAGTTATTCATGTCAAGGTGTATCCAGTGAAGTTCCTTCTAGAAGTAGGAAGACCAGCAGAATCACCCATTTAACCTACCTGTTTTAGGGACTAGCGTTCAAACTGTGCATCACAAGTGGTTGCACAACTTTGTGCTGAACTCCAACTATCTTAATTGTGTGGAGTTCTAGAAATGCTTACAAATCATCTTATTACATCAGTTGAGTCATACTGAGGTGGTTAAGTTTGACTGTGGAAAACAAGAGTGCGAAGTTTGCTTGAAAAGCTTTTGTGTCTGTGACAAAGTAATGAGGCGTCCCTACTTCTTTTGTATGTCAGACTTTCAGAGTCTCGAGTGGAAATATAGTTTCTATTTAGATATTGTAAACTTCACTTAAGAAACTGCAGTTTCTAGCTGGCATTTACTATGCTGGCTTGAGAGTAGGTGTGGGGAGGCAAAACCTTGTTTCTTAGATGATGTTACAGTGCTAGCAAAGCCCTCGCTAACCTGACACAGTTTTTTTGAGAAGTGTGTTTTATATCACTGAGTGTCATTTTGGGAGGTAGCATAACTTCAGCAGCTGAAAAACTGCTAGGAAGTATGATGTCTGCATGAGGGGCCTGCTGGTACAGCCTTAGTGGCTGAAGCTCAGGGGGACAGGCTCCAGTAAGGTCAAGGTGGAAGTTCCAGTGTTTTTTACACTAAATAAAAAAATTAGAAATGTGAAAGGACATGCTAACTCATGGTTCCCAGCAGCTTGTTAGAAAGCTCGATGTTTGAAAGATCTAGTTCAAGGAGATACTGGATACTGAATGTGTTTGCCAAGAAAAGCAGTGCCCTCAACTTCTGCTAGCTTCCTGGTCTTTTTTTTTTTTTTTTTTTTTTGGCCCAGGAGACTGCCCTCCTCTCACTAGCATTCATATGAGATAATGCAGTGGGCTGTTTAGTACTTTTGAAATTATTCAGGTGTACAAGCATGCTGAAATTCTTAGTTTGTAGTTTGTGCCACAAGACAAAGAAAGTGTTGAATGTCCTTGAATCCTGAGAAAATCATTGGTAATTCAGAGGATTAAGATATGTGTATGATGTCCCAGAATGCTGTGAAATGGGTCCCATAGTTTAAGACAGCTTACTGTTTTACAATGAAATCCCTGAATGGAGTGTCTAAAACTACTGTTTTGTCATTAGGACCTTAGTGCTGTGTTATGACAGATAACAGAGCATTTCATGTCATCTGTGGTTCTCTGACCGTGTTCTTGTTCTAAACAGAACATGTTGAGGATAAACTTGTTGTCAAGGAAAAAGACTTGTGCTAAAAGATGAGGAATGTTCTATACTGGTTTCATGTGACATATTTGGCGACTACCTGCCACGTTTGATAACTTGGGTTTATCTTTTTTAGATCTAGTCCAGAAGGCCAAAAGAGCAAAGAAGAAATTGCTGAAACGAGAAGGGGATGACAGAACTGATTCTGGATCTCAGGAACGATATGAATCATTCAGCTATGGTGGAGTTGATCCATACATGTGGGAGCCCCAGGAAGTAGGTAGGAGAGCTAGAAAGCGATATGCAGTGGGGATAACTTTTCTTTTAATCTTAATTGGGAAAGTGCTACAGTATTGCTGAAGTTGCATGGAATTGTGTCTGTATTGTGTTTGATTCACTGTAGCATGGGGTTCTGGTTTGCATATTGATTTTGTGCAGTCTGCTTAAATTGTGTGGTGTGATGGGGAAAATGCAGATAATAGGGGGGAAAAAAAATATAGAATCAGTACCCCAACTAACCTTGAGAGCAGGATAGCTGTTTGTCATGTCATTGTGCCTGAGCTGTTGAGGCCTGCTGGATATGTGTTTACCTCTGTGCATCTAGCTTCTTGGAGGTGTTCTGCAACCGTCTAGTGGCTTTTTACAAAACAGATAATCCACTAATTAATAATTAAGCTATAGCTATATAAAATCTCCAGCTTTTGGGCTACACTTAACGTAGTTGTTAGTTTACAAGTCTGACAAAAGACTTGTCCATTGACTTAAACTCTTTCAGCTTTTTCCTTGGTTTTGAGGTGTAGATCATCTCTCATTGAGAAGAGGTTTACTCGGGGGGGTGGAGGGGGAAGAGGCAAAAACCCACAAAACAAAAAAACCCTAACCCCAAACCCACGCCTCTGAACATAAATCTATGTTGTAGAATTTCAAGGATAAGTTTGCTGAGCCTATAATTACAAATACTGCTACTGGAAATTGCCTCTTACAGTACTACTGAAATATTGTGGCTCTTCTCATGGGGGAGGAAGCAGTGCTACCTCTGGTGGAGCCTGGGAAAGTTTCCCCTGTGCTGCTGACAGACTAGGACTTAGTCCTTCGGGTCTGCAGAGTCAGAGTTCTGTAGATTATTATACTTTTCACTTTGTAACTATTTCAGCAGCAATCATGGTATAAATATTAGCTAAGAATAAATTTAGGCAGTGAACTAGCAGAAGGCTTCTGAACATTAGAGAAGCGAGCAACTGTTTTCTGATTGGAGTGGAGAAGATGAACCTTATGGATTTTAGGATGGGATTTGGTAGGTTTGTGAAAGGGACTGTGTGATGTCTGCAAAGCAGTGGCTGAATTCAGTTACCCAGAGGGGCCCTTTCATTCCTATGAATTCAGCTTTGGAGGTTTTTTGGTTATTTCACTAGCATGAGGAAGTGAGATTCTTACACTTAGCATAGGTAGTATCAAAAAGCAACATCTGTTTTTGTGTTCTACCAGTCAGAATAAAGGGGTTTTTTGTGGTGGTTTTTTTTTTTTGTCTGTAACTTTGATTTTTAATACCTGGCTCATCTTACTTGGAAAAGGATCAAAACTTAAACTTGAAACCAGCGTTGTCGAGTACGAATTGTGCATTTCTTAAATAGATGCTAGATTGTTCTTTTGTATACTTGGTGATCTGTTTTCTGTAAATCTGAATTGTCATCAAGGATTTGATTCAGACTTCTAAAGGTGGAAAGATGATCAGGAGTCTGAAAGAGAAATTGCTGTTGCATAGACCTCCAGTAATCACTGGACCTGCCTCTTCCCTTTGTTCAACACATAGCCAGGAAATTAAAATGAGTTGGTTTTGAGAATACTACTAGTTGATAGTAGGTTGCCAAATGTAACCAAGGGATGGAGGGGAAAAAAAATGTTGCAGATATTCCCTTTAACATAGTGCCTGTTGTTTTCTGTAGTAGAAATAAAACACTGTTTATTGCTAGCCTGGAGATTAGGCTTTAACCTGCATGTTTTATTTAGAGCAGCACTGGAAAAATATAGGATTCTAATGTGTCTTTAAGATTTGATTTGAACATGAGAAATAAATGGTGAAAAGAAGAGACAGCTGTCTTTCAAGAGGCATTTAAATGCATTTAAATCCATACAGAACACCTGGCTGATGATGAAAACTTTCTGCTATCTCTTCAGGTGCTATGAGAAGCCATCTTTCTGATTTCAAGAAATACCGAGCAGCCAGGATTGATCACTATGTAGTTGAAGTCAATAAGTTAATAATCAGGTTAGAAAAGGTAAATTTGCCTCTTTTTAATATTCCAGCCTTCTGAATGTTTCCTAGATTAAAAAAAAAATCATATTTTAGTACGAAGTGTGCCCATTTATCTGGCAGTGC